GGGGTGAGCCGTGGTGTGTGTGGTGAGCCATGGTGTGTGTGGGGGGCATGGTGGGGTGTGGTGAGCCATGGTGGGTGTGGTGAGCATGGTGGGCCGTGGTGAGCCATGGTGGGCTGTGGTGAGCCATGGTGGGTGTGGTGAGCATGGTGAACGTGCTGACCATGGTGGACCATGGTGGGCGTGGTGGGCCGTGGTGAGCACAGTGGGCTTTTATAAGGAGTGCACGGTCAACATGTACTGCTCAAACAATTCAGTGAACTGGGATGAGAAGCCACACCACAGCATTCGATGTGCTCAGGGCCCAGAGCGAGGAGACGTGTGTAGACAATCCATCTGGCATGCACAGACCCACACGAACACTGATGCGTGGACAAGACACATCCCACCAGGGCCGCCCACTCTGGACTTGCCATTCCTTTTTCCAAATCACACCTGCACATGATCTAAGAACCAACCACTTCTCTTCAGGAACTCTACACTGCCAGCTTGTCACTGGTCACCCTGATTTCCCACGGGGACCTCCGAGGTCCACATGTGACGTGGAGGTGTGTTTCAGCCGTGTCCTCCAGGGCTCAGCCGACAGCAACTTGGTCCCCGAAGCAAGAGTGCTGAGCTAGGACCTTTAGCAAGTGGCGGGTATGCCCTCCGAGGGCCAATGCTGCCGCCTCACGCAGGGGCAGGACCCCACGCCGTGTCTCGCTCTCACCCTGCCCTCTGTACCACCTTCCACCGTGGGACGCCACAGCAAGCCCTGGCCTGGCCCTCCCGGCCGCCAGGACGCTCACACACAACTCGTGTGTTAACCACCCACGCGTGTGCTGCTAGCCCGGGTTCCCGGCCCCAGGCAGCACCGGCCGCCTCACCCAGGGACTGCTCCCGCAGAGCACGCTCGGCCCACACACCCCGCACCCTCTGCCGTGCCTGCTCCTCTGCTCACAGGGGCCGGGACCTCCGGAGCTGACACCGTCACCACCAGGGCCACCAGACTGAGCCATCGACACCATGGTCACTGTTTTTGTGCTGTTTAACATTTTGTTTTTTCTGGAGTTAGTAATTCTCTTTTTCTGTCTGATTTTCTATGACTTTAACCCCAATTTGGCATCAGGTGCTAAACACTCCTCTCAGTACGTGCCTTCAGATCAGGCATTCTAGTCCCAG